ACACTGCAGCAACAAAAGCAAAGCAGAATCTCAGACTTTGTGCTGAATTCTCTTTAGTTTCCTCTGAAAGAACAGACGCTGACGAGCTTTTCTTAACGACAGGATTAGCATCTTACGCTCTTCCACACGACCGTTAATCCATTCTCTAACGACTGGTTTTTAACGCGAACACCTGCGCTCCCCGTCTCCTCAAAGCTGTCACTAGTCAAAAGAAATTGCACATTTTCTTCACGGCGTTAGGAATTAGCGGCTAATATAGGTCATTAGCTTAGCGCGGAAGGGGCTCGGTCTCTGCGGGAAGCCAGGACACCGGAACGAACCTTCGGGAATACGCCTGGCTTTGTTCGAGCTCAACGTAATTATCCAGAAGCAAGGTTACAGCGTGTTCCGAGCACGGGGAGAGTGTGCAGAATGCGGCGTTCGGAGAAAGGTCTGAGGAGAGGGTTTCCTTTGGGACCGGGCCGCTACGCCGCTGAGGGAAGAAGAAGAAGAAGAAGAAAAAACCTCAAATTAGCGACGGCAGGGGGCCTAATTTACAGATCAGGGCGAAGAGATGGAATGATTGGAATTGGAGCTGGAAGTGGAACGCTGGTAATGACTGAGACTGGGATTTTGGAAAAAGTCTGGATAGAGGTGCTGGAATAGAAGCCACAGCTGCCCCGGGGCACACTGACAGAAGTGAGGAAACCTGTCTGTGCCAGAGACCAGAGAGAGACCAGAGAGAGAGACCAGAGAGAAATAAGAGAGAGAGACCAGAGAGAGAGACCAGAGAGAGAGACCAGAGAGAGAGACCAGAGAGAGAGACCAGAGAGAGACCAGAGAGAGAGACCAGAGAGAAACCAGAGAGAAACCAGAGAGAGAGACCAGAGAGAGAGACCAGAGAGAGACCAGAGAGAAAGACCAGAGAGAGACCAGAGACAGAGACCAGGGAGAAGCCAGAGAGAGAGACCAGGGAAAGGCCAGAGAGAGACCAGAGAGAGACTAGAGAGAGACCAGAGAGAGACCAGAGAGAGACTAGAGAGAGACCAGGGAGAGACCAGGGAGAGACTAGAGAGAGAGACCAGGGAAAGGCCAGAGAGAGACCAGAGAGACCAGAGAGAGACCAAAGAGAGACCAAAGAGAGACCAGAGAGAGAGCAGCGAGGGAGAGAGACCATAGAGAGAGACCAGAGAGAACAGACCAGAGAGAGACCAATTCTGACAAAAACAACGTTTATTGTGTTTTTAAACTTCTTTCTGATTATTTTTGTCTGTATAAAAACCCTTTGGAACAAAACCGACAGATCCAGACCTGAACGAGACGCTCTGAGCTCCTGTAAAAGCTGCTTCTACAATTCTTACAATAACACGGTCAGATCTCAGATGAAGATGAATGTCAAAACCCATTCCTCCTGATGTCTTGGAGGCACCTTAATCCTCCCCCATCAGAGGGGGGAGGAGGGGGAGACGCTCTGCACCGCTGCCTCCTCATTTGATTAAAGAGGTTTCGTTTCAGAGGCCGAGGTTCGTGTGTGTGAGGGAGGGGAGGGAGTGACAACCAGAGAGAGACCGAGCCATCTGAGGACAGGGGAGGAGGGGGGAAGAGGGGGGAGAACAGGGGGAGGTGAGGTCAGAGGAGGGGGAGAGCAGAGAGACACCAGAGAGAGACCATAGTGAGACCATAGGGAGACCATAGTGAGACCATAGCGGCACGGTGGCTGAGTGGATAGCACTCTCGCCTCTCAGCAAGAAGGTCCTGGGTTCGAATCCCGGTCGGACCAGGGCCTTTCTGAGTGGAGTTTGCATGTTCTCCCCGTGTCTGCGTAGGTTTCCTCCGGGTGCTCCGGTTTCCCCTACCACTAAAAATATGTCCAATAGTTCTGGCATGCGCCTCCTGTACTGGCCCCGCTCCCATCTCTGTGTGGAGTGAGAGACAAATGCCCAAAATTAACAATTGTAAACCGCTTTGAGACTCAGATCTGCAGTGAAAAGGCGGTATATAAATAAAAACTTACTTACTTACTTACATAGTGAGACCATAGTGAGACCATAGAGAGACCATAGTGAGGCCATAGTGAGGCCATAGAGAGACCATAGAGAGACCATAGTGAGGCCATAGGGAGGCCATAGGGAGACCATAGTGAGACCATAGTGAGACCATAGAGAGACCATAGTGAGACCATAGGGAGACCATAGTGAGACCATAGAGAGACCATAGAGAGACCGTAGAGAGACCATAGTGAGGCCATAGAGAGACCATAGTGAGACCATAGAGAGACCATAGAGAGACCATAGAGAGACCATAGTGAGACCATAGAGAGACCATAGAGAGACCATAGTGAGACCATAGAGAGACCATAGAGAGACCATAGAGAGACCGTAGAGAGACCGTAGAGAGACCATAGAGAGACCATAGTGAGACCATAGAGAGACCATAGTGAGACCATAGAGAGACCATAGGGAGACCATAGTGAGACCATAGAGAGACCATAGTGA